TCAAATGAACAATTTTTTTATCGTTCGTTTAGAATAATAACTTCAATCATTTCAAATGAACGATTTTCTTATTGTTCATTTGGAATGATAACTTTAATTGTTCTAAATGAATGATTCTTTTATCGTTTGTTTGAAATAATAATTTTATCATTTTAATTAAATGATTTTTTTATCATTCATTTGGAACAATAATTTAATCGTTTTAATCAAATGATCCTTTTATCATTTGTTTAAAATAATAATTTCATCATTCCAAATGAATGATTCTTTTATTATTCATTTGAAATGATAATTTTATTGTTCTAAATGAATGATTCTTTTATCATTCGTTTGAAATGATAATTTAATCATTTTAATTGAACGATTTTTTTATCATTCGTTTAGAATGATAATTTCATCATTCTAATCAAACGATTCTTTTATCGTTCATTTGGAATAATAATTTCATCGTTCTAAATAATCTAAAATTTTGGATTGAAATTTTTGCAATCTGAAATTGAACTGAATTTAATCTGAACTAAAAATTTTCGGATTAATCTGAACCATTCGGAGCTTTAGCTGATAATCTTAAAGAAATCTTACTTAAATAGTTTCAGACTAATCAAGAGATCTTAAACAAGTAATTCAAAATAAAAAGTTATTACTATCTCTATAAAAGTTTCTTAATGACATGCTTGATGACAAAATTTATAGCTATTTCACATTTTTAGAGCCATTGAATGATTTTCAGATAGGTGTTATTATATCATTAAGAGTCACTAAGAAAAATTTGAATTTCTTAACTTTTTTTTATTTTTTTTAGTATATACAGTTCTTGTCAAAAGTAATGGTAGACAGTTTTTTTAACCTTATACATATAATTTTATATCAAATATAGGTAAATTTTTTTTAAAATAAAGATAAAAACAATATTTATAAATTTTATTAGATAATTAATATATAATGTGTCTTTCATTTACATCAATACATGCTTGAATTCGATTAGCATACTATTAATACAGTTAAGTAATATTGAATTATTAAGATTATCACATTTTTTTATTAAAAAAAATTTCATTTGAAATTTTTTTTGTGCAACTAATATTTTTAATATTTTATTCAATTTTTTTTAAAAACAACCCAAATATTATATGTTCCTATTCTAAAGGAACTTTATGACTTCATGGCTCACTTTAATAGATGTTGATGGTATTGTGATTTCAGTGAGTAATAAAAAAGTTCAAAAAGATTTTAATTTATTTGTTTTTATTGTTTATTTAAATATAAATATTCTATTATTCAATTTAGTCTAATAAATAATGAGCCAAATTGGGATAATGGAGTTGCTATAGTTTATACAAGAAGCAATATCTCCAACCACCATTACTTTTGACAAAGACTGTATGTATCATGTATATGTCATATATTTATTATATTATATCACATATAAACTATAAGAATAGTATAGAAAAATTTTGATTTTTCCTATAATTTTATTTTTTCTTAGTGACTCTTAGTAATATAATAACAAATAAAAAGAAAGATAATCAAGCGTTCTAAAATTTTAAAAAAATATACAATGATATCATTAAGAGTATCATTAACAAATTTTTTATAGTAACAGGAGATTTTATAGTGACAAAAAAATCTGCATAGGAACACATCATTTTATATTTCTATATTATTTATGAAAAATCTACCATAGTATTAGCTTTGATCTTTTAAATTATATACTTAAAAATTAGTTAAAACATCTTAGTAGACAAATAATCTAAACATGATCTCTTAAAAAATATGAAAAAGTGATGTGAAAGTGTTGAGAACTTAAGATGCTGTAAATTTTAATTAATTTCAGCTAATCTTATTCCATAATTTTGGTTAGATTTTGAATATAATATTTAATATCTAAGCTAGTATAGTACTGAGTTAGATTCTTAAATCATGTATATAAAAGATTAACCTAAATTATACTATAGAGCTGATCAAAATTAACTACAAATTTACTGTGCTATCTGTTACCTTTTTTACATCACTTTAACATTTAGAAAGGTAACCAAATAGATAAAGAAGAAAAATACTCTCAATATCTTAACAGGTAACTAAAGAGGTGTAGAAGGGCAAAAACTTTAACATAAAATTTAGAATATAAATATATACAGATAGCCTGCACCTTTAATATAGAACTCAATAATCAATTAATTGTAAAATCCCACTAGTGTAAATTATATTAGAAAATGTTTATTAGTATATAGCATATAATAAAAATATGTGTATTTAAATTATTTGGTTATAGTCAAATTTAGATTATTTAATCATATCTAGGTTATTAATTTTAGATTATTTAGTTATATTAAATTATTTAGTTATATTTAGATTATTTAGTTATATTTAAATTATTTAGTTATTTAGTTATATTTAAATTATTTAGATATATCTAGATTATTTAGTTATACTAAAGTTGTATTATTACTAAATAATCTAATCTAAACTGATTATAACTAAATAATATAATTATATTATTTAGTCATAATCGACTTATACTTTTATATTTGTGTATCATTAAAATTTAAAAATTATTTTTAAATTTAATAATATAATTTATATTATGTTAACCAAATTTAATAGAAAGAAAAATGCTAAATACTTTAAAAATCTGCTTTTTTTTATAATGTGAATAAATAGAAAATTAATTAAGATTTATTTGTTTAAGAGTTATTATTTTTAGCTTAACTTTATTAATAGAAGAAATAATATTTAAAATTAAGGAAGATTATAAGATATTTTCAAATGTAGATATAAATACTAATTTATATTAGTTTTAAAGTTTTAAGAAAGTTGTGTTCTTTAGGAGTTTGGATAATTAGATGTTAGAGTATTATGTTCAATAATGGTTTCAACTAAAGATAAAAGCAAAAGTAATATTGAATTTTTTAAGTAATACAGTATTTTTGTTATTTTCAGATGCAACATAAACTAGAGTATCAGATGCTTATAAAACTAAAGGTACTTGTTATTGTTATGCATTTAATAAAGGTTTTTGTAGTATAAGTTTCAAATTTTTTAAAGTTTCTTATAATTCGTTTATTAGTAAATATTTTTTAATACTAGATGATAACCAATATTGGCATTGCGTTCGCATATACTGTAATTATGTAATGTAAATAATCAAAAACTTGAATTTTTTTAATTGTGAAAAAAAAAAGCTTTTTATCCATCATTATATGACACGCCAGCAATTACAATAGCGATAACTTACAAAATCCATAGTTTATTAATTTTCAAATAGATTTTTTTTTTTTAAAAAAAAAAAAAAAAAAAAAATTTAAAAAGATAAAAATAATATTTTTTTACTATTTTTACTGATTCGGCCAATAGTTTTGCCAGCTCAATTCTACATTATTGGCTTAAATTCAATTTATGCGAAAAATTTCAGTGTTATATAATAATTGCGTGTATAATACATATAGTATCACCACAAGTTAATTAAATTGTCCCACCAATTTTAGTCCGACCATTTATTTATTTTTTTTTTGACGTCTAAAAGCAATAGAATTAAATAATTTTTAAGCGTAGAAGTATTTTTAACCTTTTATTTTTTTAAAATCATTTAAATTGTAGTAAATTAAAACCTTTAAAAATAAATTAGGCAATGGGAACATTCCAAATTTATTAAATTTATTTTAAGCCATTATTTTGAATGGTCTTAAACACGAATTCTGAATAGCCGGAAAATCTCTCATTGAAAAATTTATAAGACTATTTATTTTTTCCGAAAGTAAAACCGTTTGTTTTGTTTTATCCAAATTATGATAGTATGAATGCTTCGTGTAACTACACGATTAATGATTCTTGATGCAAAATTTTTAATCGAAATTTATCTTACATAGTTAAGAAATGTGTATCTAAAAAATCTGTTTAAACGAAACTCTATTCGTCGTGTACAAAAACTTTTTATGTCAATGTCATTGATAATGTAATCTCATGGAACGCATAATAAAAATTATCGCTTAGTAAAAAAAAATAAATAATCAAGTAGAAGTCTTAAACTTCTGAAACACGTAATGTAATATTGTACGACCCATTTAATAAGAAATTAATCAACTTTCGGTTATAACAAAAAAAAGGAAAAAAACTTCTTTTCTGAATCTAATTCGTTCCACTGATAAACTTCTTTAACAAACTGCGGGAAATTCATCGTACATGCATAACAATTTTATCAAAAGCAAAAAATTTTTTTTTGTAATACTTTGCTAGCTATATTAGTCAATTTAGCTTACCGAAATTTACTAAATTTTTTGATCGAGAATTGGAACATTTTATTTTATTATTCCTAGAAGAATGTGGCTTATTCTGATCAAAAATAATTTTTTTTTTTTTTGACATTTATTAAATTACCAATTAGAGAATCTTTATATTATAACAAACATAAACATTTAAGACATTTAAGATCATTATTAATTTCCTATCTCAAAAAGACAAATTCCATTCAATTAACATAAACGATTAAATAATTAATTAATTATCAATAAATAGTTCTTTCTTGATTCTAAATTCCAAACGAAATATAAATAGAATTTTTTTTTTCGCAAAATAAATGGCTTTCTTGAAAGGATTTTAAATTTTTTCATGAATTTACATACTATTGCGTGATACAATCAACATCAAAATCTTTCTCTAGAATTTAATTAACTAAAGAAAAGATATTCTTTTCTTGTATTACAAACAAAAAATATTGCCTGATGCTACGTCATGAACATAGTGCATTTATTATATTACAAACATACTGTCGATTGAATTAAATTGTACCAATAAAAAATGATCCATTTTATGATCATATATTTATGATCAAATATACAGTAATGTCTCGATTTCCTGAAAATACTGTTACCTATAAAATACCATTAATTCTCATCCTTTTTTTTTTTTAAAAAAAATATATATTTTTTTTTTCGGGAAAATATATTTACAAAGGAATTAGCGATTTAATTTATTTTTATATTTTTTATGTTAAAGGATCAAATATGTCATCGCTCAATTCTAATAATGCAACATACTCTGATAACGATACAATGGTCATTCTTTATCAAAATCATTCATATTGCGACTGGAGAGTAACATTGTCGTGTGAAGATGGTCAAATGTATAAATCATTATACGTATTAAATTTCATCATAATATTTTTGATTGCAACTGGATGTATGGTATTACTTTGGTATAGAATTAATCGACAAGGATGTTCTATATTCTTTCCAAAAATACCTGGAACCGGTTTTATTAGACCAAATCCCGTTGAAGGATTTTTAGTTTGGGTAATATTTTGGATGATTGGTAAGTAAATTTACGAGAAGACGCGTTAATTCCTGCTTCTTCCCAACAGCTTTATTACTGCGCCAACGCTCGATTTTAAAAAACAAAAAAAAAACAGATACAATATTTATTAATTAATTTAAAACTTTAAACAAATATTAATTAATACAGGAAGATTATTATTCATTATGATTATTTGGACGGATTCATTTGATAATAATTATTTGATACGAGAAAGTAAGTATAAACAATAATATAATGCTTAATGCTATAGTTAATTATTAATGTATACAAATACTCATCAATTAATAAATAATTAATTTAGTATTACAAGAATTGGTAAGTATGTGTAATTAATTACTAAATAAACCCAATAATTTTACTAAAAGTTAATACCTCTTTATTTAGTGTTGGACATGTGGCTCAACAGGTAAATGCAATAATGACATAGTGCTGGGAAAAGGAACCAAATTAAAGATTTTATATAAATTTATTTATTTCTTCTGTCGTATCTAGGTTATGCATGGTTCGTTATTGGAACGTATTTACAAATCGGAAGTCATTTAAATTCAAGGCAAAGACCATGGCGTCCAAATAGTAAATTAACTGATAGATATCTTTTATTGATAACAATAATTGCACCAATCTCGATATGGCCAATTACGATTGCATGTGGTTATTTTAGAGACAATAAAAATGACAGAGTAGCAGATATATTAATATCGACAAAAGATGCATTATGGGGTTTATGGAGTGGATTTGGCGCATTGGGAGTATTTTACTTTGGTAAAGAATTATGTAACGTCTTAAGATATCATATTAATGTTGCAAGAAGAAGTAATCATATTACTATTGCAAGAGTGGAACGAATGCAAACTGGTTTGGAAAAGATTAGATTTACTTTATATATTATAATGGCGACTAATATATATTTTGTAATATATTGTCTAATTTCTTCCGTATATCGCGTATGGATAATTACACATTCTAAGCCATTAAATATATTCATGTTTTTAACTTACGCTTTTTTCACCCCTATTTGCATTATTTTTGTCGTAGCCACAATAAGCATAAGGTAAATAATTTACGCGTTTCCACTTTTTGTTTCTTTTTCACTTTTACACGTGACAATAATCATTCTTTTATCTATTCATGTAGAACAATACAAAGTTATAAAAGAACAACATTATTATTATCCACAAAATTATCGAAAAATAATACCCTTAATTCCATGGTTGAGAAAAACATAAATCATAAAGACAATAAGAGGATTAATTCAAATTTTTCTCTTAGGAGATCATTATCAGCTAGTAATAATTTACATAAAAAACGATCAATTTTAACTGTTAACGGAACAGAAAAACAAATTCTTCCTACCCCAGAAATACCTGAATTATATTCAATTACTTCTGCAATCGCTGCTATGGATTATCTGAATTTACCTATTTCCCTTTCTACGGATTATTATATGACTGATCAACATCAATTTGACGATTTAGTTGCTTACACTCAATTTAACAATGACGTTAAATTACAAGCAGAAGAAATTGGAAAGAGAGAATCTGGAATTGGAGAAATAGATGATTATCAAGAATTACCTTCGATGACGATTGGATTAACTTCTAACATAACTTCTATTATGTCTTCTGGGATTAATGAATTAGACGAAGAAAAAAATGATAATTTGTTAAAACAACCTGAAAAGGTTGTTGTGAGACCTGGTTCTCCTACTATTCCTATTCATTCTTTAAACAATCATAATAATGATAATATTAATATTGATGGGTTGGATCAAGAGTTATGAGAGGGTTCATATATTATTTATTTTTAAAATATAAATATAGCAATTATTTTATTTTTATTTTTTGTATATTAAATATATTTTGTAATTAATCTGTATAATTAGGTTGGTTGCTACTGTGGATTTTAAAGATACTTTTTCATTAAAAAATTTAGAATCTGTAGAAATGAATTACTAATCGGGTATGATCTAGGAAAAATGACAGTCTGGGACTATATATCATGATTTTTCCTAGCTCATGTCCATAGATCGATTTAAACAAAAGTATTATTAAAATAATGGATGGGAAAAAGAAGTAAATGTAGACTTCAATCTCTTTAGATCTTTTTCTTAAAATAAAATCTAACGCATTACAGCTTATCCTTAATCGGTAAGGATTTTCATTCAAATATCTTCAATTCATTTTTTTATCAAAAAAAAATGGATTTAAATTAATACAAAAGTTACTAAATTTTTTTTTTAAAAAATTATTCATAAAAATTATTTTGTATAATATATAGTATTTAAATAACTTTAATTAATAAGTAATATTAGTAAAATTACAAATAAATTTTAAAAAAAAATTATTAAAGGATATTAATTAATAAGCTTTTAATTTAATTAAAATAAATATTATTAAATTATAAAGCAAGTAAATTTGCATTTGAATTTTAATTTTCAAAAAAGTTATTAAATAAATTCTTTTTTTATGTGTGGTAGCTTTGCACAATCTTTATTAAATGAAAGTAAAAAAATTACAAATTATAAATGAGAAAATACAAAAATTTCTATTTAAAAAGTTAAATTAAAGATCAACATCATAACATTCCAGACTAACTTACCCTAAACTAATTTAAAATAGACTTAACCATTCAGTATCAGAGGCCTGGTTACTACTGATCTAAAAATTTGACCAATTAGAATCATATTGAAAAAATGTGACAAAAAAAAGAGAAATGTCAAAAGAGTGTATGGTTAGATTATTAAATAAAATAAAATTCAATTATTATTATATAAATAAATAAAGTTTTATAATATTTCATTGAAAAAATAGTTTAATCTGTAAGAATAATGATATATATTACCTAATATTACTTTATTATAAATACCTATTTTCAAGTAAGATATTTTAATTATATGAATATAGATTATTTTTCTTTATAGAATTTATATATCGGTTATTAATAAAATATATTATTATTATGTATAAAGTTAATAAATTAATATTTTATTATATGAAAACTGCCATAGTAAAAGGGATGATACATTGATCACGTGATTTTGAAAAAATCGCAGTTTATTATTCGTCATTAATTTTGCTAATCATCATCAAAAAAATGATTTTTTAAAAAACTGTCTTTACAACTTCAATTTTTTTATAGGTAATAAGTTGAAAATATTGGTTTTTTTATTATATATTTATTTTTTAAAATTTATGTAATTTATATACTATATAGTTTTAATAAAGTTTATCAAATATTTAATAAAAAATAAACAATTATTTCATTTCAAAAATAAAATTTGTGTCTTTTTACTAATAAAGTATAATGGAAAAATATTTTTCTAAAAAGTTAGGCCTGCGTTTATGTGATTATAACAAATCTTAAAATCTGATTAGTCGATCTATCACCCCCTTTTGCTGTGGCAGTCTCCATATATTAAATAGCTTATTTTACAAAAAAAACTTTAAGTAAAAATTAAAACTTCAAAATATTTTAAAATCTATAAGTATTGTATTTTAAAATTCTTGATATCAATCATTAATTTATATATTATTTTGATTAAATTATATATAATTATGTAAAAATTATAATTTAAATGATTATAAAATTTTATAATATATTTAATTTTTTTCAAACATATTATTATTCTATTATTAATTTAAAATGGATTATCAAACTTTTCTAATTAGTTCTAAATTAATAAGAAACTAAACTTTAATTTATTAATAAATAAATATTAAAATTTTATCAACGCCTATATATATAGTGTTATAGTTAGACAGAAAATTATATTTCTTATCATTTTATTAGTTATTATAAAGTCATAAAAGAATAAATAAAATTAAAAATAAAAGTGAATCAAGTATTGATAATATAATTAGAAATTACTTAGCTATACTATATGGTTTACATAATATATAAATAATAAGATTAAGGTAAAGAAAATTAGATTTCTTTTCTTTCTATTACTTGTCTAATAAATCTTATATTAAAAATTTTTGCTAATATATTAATCTAAAAAATTATAGCAAATAAAATAAAAAATTGAAAAAATTTAATAAACATAATTAAATTTATATCATCCTGAATTTTTAACTTTAGCATAATATATATATAAGAAAAGAAACTTTTAAGCTAAAATTAAATCTAATAAGAGAAAGTTAAAAAATTAAAAAGTAATATAAGTTATGCTTAAAAATGTAAAAATAAAGAAAATACTTATCAAAAATCAGAAAATACAGTCAACTCTTGATATAGTGAACTCTTGATATAATGAATTTTTTGAATAAATATAATAAAAGTACTCTTATTATAGTAAAATAACTAATCAAATCTCTTAAAATCTTCACTATAACCCTTATAGTAAAGTTGAGATCTAGGACATAGAGTTTATTATAACAAGAGTTGACTATAATACTATATGATAAACTTAGTTATTCTTCACTTCTTTTTAAGTATACAAATTTATATGACTATATTTACAATTTAATCAAATTTAAAGTAGTTAATGATAAATAAAGAAAAAAAGATGAAATTTACAAAATCTTAAAAAAAAATATAATATTTATATAATATAAACATTAAATAATTATTTATTATCTTGTTAATCTAATACTATTATTATAAAGTATATTATTATTCAATATGAGCTATAGTAATTAAAGTTTTATATATTAAAATATAAAATTATTCTAATAATTATTATTATTTTATATCTATTAAATACGTAAAGTATTTATATCATTTTTACTAATAAATCTATTATTATTTCTCAAAATACAAAGTAAATATAAGTATTAAGATACCTGTTTATTTTGTATATTATAATTAATTTATAAGTTTATTTGTATAATGATTATAATTTTTTACAAGATATAGGCAAAAATTAATTCTATCAGTTTATTTTATAATCAAACTAAATGAATTAAATAATAAATTAAAAATGTGACAAATCATCATTTTTATATATTATTAATGATTCTATAAAACTTCTTTACTTACATATATGCAAAATTTTAAAAGTTTTCCTCTTAATTCTTAATATAATAATATGTTAAAAGCTGATAGAAAAGTTTATCTTATTTAGATATTACTAATAAATAGAAAATTAAATAAAAATTTAAAAACACTTAAAAATATTAAAGCATATAATCAACTTTTTCAAAAATTTAATTTAGATTACCTAATTATATAAAAATATATTCTGAATAATTTAAGTACAATCCTTTGAAAGAAAATAGCAATATTATCTAAAAAATTAACAAGTATTATATTACTAATAGATTACTTTAAAACATATTTAAATATATAAAAGAAAGTGATTAATCTAAAGCTGACTTATCAAAATTTTTGATATGCTAAAAAAACATTTTATGATATTTATATTATAATTTGATTTTTAAAAGAAATGTAAATATATAATATATTAAAAATTTACTAATTTGTTTAAGAACTTGCAATTTGAAAATATAGACAAAAAAAGCAGAAATATGAAAATAATAATAAATGAAATAATAAATAAATAAAATTGATCTATTAAAATATTTTATATCATAATTATTAATTGAAAATTTTTTTTTCAATATTTTTTTTTGATATAAAATAAACTATTATAAATTATCTTATATAAAGAAATTGTAGATTTTTATCAGTTAAATAATGGTTTTTATCTTTAATTACAAAAGTTAAAGACTAGAATTTTGAATGAGTTGAGTTGAGTTGAGTTTAAAGATCAACTTTATTTAACTCTCTTTTTTCGAGTTGAGTTGAGTCAAATTTATTTTATAAAATCTTTCAATTTGATTTAATTCGAGTTATATAAATTTTAAACTCAACTCAATTTGACTTGACTTGATTTTAACTCGATTCGATTTTAAAAAAAAAATAAAAAAAAATAAAAAGATCAAAGGAGAGGGGGGAAAAAGAGTGAACAATTCGAATCATTGTTCAAGTTGAACAATTTGTCATCGTTCTTTTTGAATAATAAAAAAATATTGTTTAAGTCAAATGATTCATCATCATTCTTCTTGAACAATAAAAAAAATCGTTCAAGTCAACTTGAGTTAACTCGAATCAAGTTAAGTTTAAATTGAGTTGAGTTAAATATTTAACTCAACTTGAATTTGACTTGACTCGCAAATCATTGAGTCAAAAAAACATAAACTCAACTCAATTTAAACTCGACTCAACTTATCTGACTTGTAAGTTAACTCGATTTGTCTAGAACTCTACTAAAGACAGATATTTTACAAATTCTATATACTTTCTTAAATATTAAATAATAAGAACTATTAAATATCTAAAGCACTATTATCTCATAATCATTAAATGTGAATTTTGAAATTATTTTAAAACTAAGAATATAATATAATTGTTAAATTAACTTAGTTAAATTAAATAAAATCATATAATTAAAAATTTTTTAGTTTATTTTTAGTTAATACAATTAATACTTGATATAATGAATTTTGATATAGTAAATAATTCAATATAACAAATTACTATTGTGAAACAGATTTTAACATATTAAAAAAATTTGTTATAACAAATTTAATTAATAATTTACTGTATAATATTATACGAAGTAAAGTACTCAAACTGTATATACAGAAGATAGATAAAAGTATCTGTATACCCTCTATAAACGTGAATTAATACTAAAAAAGTCATATGATCGCAATAACAAATTACGATTATATGACATGTTAGTGTTTATTTATATTATAAATATAAAAAATAACAATTTAATTTTTTTAATAAATTTTCTTCTTTAAAACTCTAAATAAAAAAAAATGTTAAAAACTAAAGAGTTAACTATAAAATAATGCAGAGCTATAATTTATTGCTATCAATATGGTAATAGTTATTAAACCATTACTAATACTGTTAACTTTAGAGTGTCAACTGTTCATGATACTATTATTCAATACTGTAATACTAGATCAACTGAATTAATGCATTATTCTGAACATCTGCTTTTAATTCTAATTTCATAACAAAATCATTTTAAACAAATCATAATGAATAATAAAACTAAAAATCATCATCTATGTGCAGCTAGAATACAATAGCTTTAGAAGAAGAAGACTGGCTAAGATATTTTGACCAAGATGATTAGATAAACCCTCCATTCAGCTAGATTAAAAAATTGTATTACAAGAAAAAAACTATTAATTTCATCAGCAAATATTGAGATGCATCTTGAATAGTGTTTGAAACATTAAAGCTGAACTAAAGTGGATTGGTCAAAAGTCTTGTAAAGTGATGAATCCATATTTTCTTAATTTTAACAAAGTCACTTTAGTAAAGTTTGGCATAAACTGAAGGATGAATAGACTTTATCCTGTATTATAGCTATAGTAAAACATAGCTCTAGTCAAATGTATTGAGGTTGATTTTCAAGAAAAAGTATGAGATCAATTGTTCCATTATCTGGAATAGCAACTAGTAATTTACATATTATTATTCTTCATAAATATGTTATTCTGGTTATGAGAAAATCTTTTTCAAATTATGATAGCTAATTTCAAAAGATAATGTTCAACTTCATAAATCAAAGGTTATAATGTCTTTTCAAGCGAAATATAATCTTCGTATATTATCTTGGCCAGCTCAAAGTTCTGATATTAATCTAATTAAAAATCTTTAGGCTGAAGTTAAGAAAATCATCCAAACTTATAAAAAACCTCTATCTAATCTTGCTGTTCTTGACCAATATGTTAAAAATGCATGAAAAGAAATTCTGAAGCATATTATCAAAAACTTAGTCAATAGTATGTTACAATAAATTCAAGTTATGATTATAGCAAATAGTGGTCTAACTAAGTACTAGTTACTTAGTACAAAATTTAGATCTTAATCAGCTTTAAATAAAATATTAATTGACCTTTTATTATTAATATAAAAATATTTGAAGTTTATATTGAGTAAAAAAGTGTGCAGATACTTTTGTTCATTCTCTGTATATAAATGACTCTTAATATAATAGAATTTTTTATAACAGATTTTTTCAAGAATATAGTGAAGAATTTTTTAAGATTTCACAAAGTTGTATAAACTGGATATATGGTAAGTTTATTTATCTTTTATTTTTAAAAAATATATAAGAAATGTTTTTATTAAGATGTTTTTTTCTTTTTTTTATGTAAAGGATGCTGGCTTCACAAAAGTAGACAAACTGGATTTAAATAGTAAGTTTTTTTACTTCTTTTTTAGATATATAAGAAATGCTTTTAACAAAACGTTCTATCCTTTTTTTTTATTATAAAGATGCCAGTTTTGCAAAATTTTATGAACCTATGAACTGAACTTACAGGAGGGTGAAATAAATATTGAATAATTTTTTCGTGAAGATTTATTACATTAATTTTATATGAAAATTTATTAATTAAAGCTAAATATAGTAATTTATAATGCTTTTCTAATCAAAAATGGATTTGTTTTTATTGATAAATTGATTGTTTATTTGTTTATTTTGATTTAAATTTTTTAAAATTTTTCAGAATTTTCGCAATTTTTCGCAAAAAATGGGTCTTGCAAAAGAGATTACTTCAGAGCAAAGAGGTGCAATTTTTGCATGCCAAAAACTTTGTATTACGCAAGAAAAAACTGCAGAAATTGCTGAGTGTTCTCAGGCAACAGTTTCTCGAGTATTAAAAAATAATCAAACTATTAATAAATGATCAGGTCGTCCCCAAATAATGACTGTGCAAAAACAAAAAAAATTGTCAAAAGCTGTTCTTAATAATAAAGATTTTAGGTGCCAAAGTTTAAAAGAAGTTTGTCAGCTTTTTATAAAACAAAATAAAAGTGAAAAAGTATCCAAGCGAACTATTCAAAAAGCATTAAGGATAGAAGGCATTCGATCATGCATGCCTTGTCCAAAACCATTGATTTCTTCTGCAAATAAAATCAAAAGACTTGCTTTCGCGAAATAGCATAAAAATTGGACAATGGCTGACTGGAGAAAAGTAGTTTGGTCAGATGAATCTACCTTTTCTCAGTTTCAAACCTCAGGTTGGAATTGAGTTTAGCAAAAATCTGAAGAAGAATTTAATGAAGATTATATTGCCTCGACCGTAAAATACAGTTTCAAATGAATGTTTTGGAGCTGTTTTTCATGGTTTGGTCTCAAACCTATTATTCCATTAATTGGTTCTATTACTGGTAAAACCTATCGTGAAATCCTTGAAACTTATGCTGTGTCAACCCTTAAAGAACAATCACGAAAAGTCAAAAAAAAGCTTGTTTTCCAAGAAGACAATGCACCAGTGCATACAGCAAAAATCGCACAAGATTTTCTTCTTTCAAGTAAAGTAGAACGTTTGTCAT